CCAGTGAAGAAACAGAAGACACACACACCTCCACAGGTAACTTAAAAGTTAAATATGCACGCCCACATATAGTACATTTTTAAGTAACCTACACTACCATTCAGAAGTTTGGGCACAGCAATATATTTTTTTGCAAGAAGGAATACATTCTTACATTCTGCAAGGACAAATTATATTGACCAAAAGTGACAGTGAAGACATTTATATGCTCTTTTGAATATGTTAGTCATCAAAAAATCTTTTTAAAAAGTTTCATGGTTTCAACTAAAATATTAAGCCACACAACTGTTTTCAACATTGATAATAGGAAATATTATTTGAGCACTAAATCAGCATATCGGAATGATTTCTGAAGCATAATTGTGACTTTGTATCTCACAATTCTGACTTTTCTCTCAGAACTGTGATAGAAACTCGCAATTCTATGAAATAAAGTCAGAATTGTGAGTTTATATCTCACAATTCTGATTTTATAACACGCAATTGCGAAGGAAGCAACCCATGAAAATTGTGCAACTGAATTTCTATTCTGTTTTCTTGGACCCAGACAGAGACGACACACCTGCATCCCCTTGTAGCATGACATCCTGGGACAGCAGTGAGTATAGGAGAAAGAAAAAATGAATTAAGGTGCGGTCACATTTGCGACATATCAGTAAAATTTCACAAAAAAAATTGTGTATTGTCAATAGTGTAGTGATGCATAAAGCATGGAGTCACTTTCAAACCAAGCAGCTTCCTGTTAGTCAGTGCTGTGAATTTGCATGACCAGCTTCACAAGTGAAATCTGTGTGGGCAACTTTGACACCTTTATATCGCTCACAAAAGTGTGACTGCACCTTTATGATTGTCTATACCTTAAAAATGACCCAACATTTCATTGGTGAATTGTGGGAGTAATAATAGTGTGTCTTTCAGACACAGGAGGAAGCATCAGTCCATCAGCGGTGTCTTCTCGCTCTCAGCGCTCTGTGGAGAGTTTCTTCGGGTCCAAGTCAGCGCTGACATGCATAAGTATCACACTTAGTAATTCATTTATATCACACTGAATTTCTGTGTTCTCCAGGTTCAATCTGGGCAGACTAAAGGGCAATACTGGAAAACAAGCTCCTCTCAAACCTCACTGTCTTTCTGCAGAGACTGAAAGACACATAGAGACAGATTCGCCTGACTACTTGCCCCTGGTTGGTGTCATTGCATACTAATTTACAAAACTAATCACCACATAAAGTCAGTCACCTACATCTCTTTTTGTGTCCCCACAGGTGCGCCTACAGTTGGCATCAGGTGCGTTTCTGCTGTCTGATTCCTACTCTGAGTGCCTCCAGATCCCTCTGGACCGCCTGAAAAGAGCGTCCCCGTACCTGAGCCACCGCAGCAGTCTGAGCCCCCCTTTCCGTTGTACCTCACCACCCACGTCAGCGAGACACATGCGAGACTCATGGTCCGACCCCTTGGAGGAAGGCTCTCCAAAATTGGTAGGTGGAGTCGCGCAGGCTGACAGTGGGCGGGGCTCTGAGACTGACACTTGTGAAGGTCCTCCATTGGATCCTGCAGAAACCCATGGAGAGGAACTGGCGCAGATGAACGTAGAGAGCTCAAGCTGGGCCACAGCGGTGGCTCTGGCCTGGCTGGAGCACCGTTGCGCTGGGTTTTTTGTGGAGTGGGAACTGGTGGCTGCCAAGGCAGATTTCTGGCTGAAGTGTCAGTCGCTGCCAGAGGGGGTTGACCTGGCAGGGTTGAGGGCAGCGGCCAGGCAGCTTTTCCTGCTGTTGCGTCACTGGGATGAAAACATCAAACTGAACGTGCTCTGCTACAACCCCAATAACATGTGAGAAAGGACCCCAAGAAACATGTGAGCCACCAGGATTTGAAGCCTCAAAGATGAAGTTTTTGGGTCTTTAATTGAATTTAACCCTGTTGGCTAGACTCACAATTCAACTTCATAGCAGAATAGAATTCATCTAAGATGTCCTTCAAAATGGAGATTGTGAGTTGTGTTCCAGTTTTTCCTTAAGCCTAGACCACAATACTGTTCAAGCTTTGCCTTAATCTTTGGGCCTCAGACTAATTGTGCAGTAGAATGTAGTTCACTGCAAATCTGACAGCACTTTATCCTATCAATAGCAAAATAACTAGTATGGGAGGCTTTGTGAAACCAATCACCAACATATATAGCAGGCCAAAATTACACATTCTTGCCTTAACTTACACTACCGTTCAAAAGTTTTGGGTCAGTACGTTTTTTTGTTTTTTGTTTTTTCCAGCAAGGACACATGAAATTAATCAAAAGTGACAAAAGATTTACAATGTTACACTTTCAAATAAATGTTCTTTTTAACTTTCTATTCATTAAAAAAATCCTTTAAAAAAAAGTATCAGTTTCCACAAAAATATTAAGCAGTACAAGTGAAAAGTGACGTGACATGTGGCCAAGTATGGTGACCCATACTAGGAATTAGTGCTCTGCATTTAACCCATCCAAAGTGCACACACACAGCAGTGAACACACACACACCGTGAACACACACTAATCATCATTAGAATGATTTCTGAATGGTTACGTGACACTGAAGACTAGAGTAATGCCGAAAATTCAGCTTTGTAATCACAGTAATAAATTACAATTTAAAATATATTAAAATATATTTTGATCAAATAAATGCAGCCTTGGTGAGCATAAATGACTTCTTTTAAAAACATTTGAAAAATCTTACTGACCCCAAACTTGAACGGTAGTGTACATCAGCTGTCTGAATTTGATTAATCTATTTCTTACATTGGTCAAGTTTTAAACTAAATTGGACTATTTTAAACCACCTTTTTTGCGTTGGCTGATTCTGTCAGTATTACTCCGTTTTAGAGCTGTTAAGCATATAAACAGTCCAAACAACATTGGTAAATTGTATTTGTGTAGGCTCATTTGTGTTTTGTTTTTGACAGAAATTGAATTGTGTGTTTGGCAATGAATGCTTGCTTTTAGCCTTCTTGAGATATTTTAGATTTAGGCATTTAGTTTGTTCTTTTTGGAGTCTGCTTACAAGCAAGAGTTTTCAGGTAACACCACAAAAACGATCTGCAAAACCTGGGGCTATATTTTTCATGTTCAATCATAGGAAGAATCGGAACCATGGTAACTATGAATGTTATAAAATTATGACTTTATTTTCAATCACTTACAAATCTATACAATAAAATGCTCTGAATGATTCCAAATGACGCTTCTTCAGGTTTTAAGATACTGTTGTTTCAAACAGTAAGGGCTTTAATTGTTCACTGTACATTCAGACTGGTTTTGCCCAGACTTTCGTACCCATGAGCCTGTCAAAAAACTTGGAAATGGAATAAAATCATGGACAACAGTTGTATTGTGATTACCGACAACACTATGGATTAAGCAAATGCATATCATGCAAAAAGAAAAAAACAACAGCAAGCAGATTATAAGAATAAGATTCATAAGAAAAATCATTCACACTTCATCACAGAAAAATAAAAATCACACTCTAAATATGAAGCATTTCAGCATTGAATCTGTCTCTCTTCATGCTAGAAAAGAAAAAAAAATGTAGAGAACAAAAAAAGAAAGACCAAAGACAGAAGACAAACTACTAAAAAGAAATGGAAAAGCAGATCTATGCTGTTCCTTCATGCCCTATAAATGTAACTATATCATCCTGTTGAGCTTATAGACAATTGTGCATGGCTGGAAAAGTCAACTATTGAAGGGATAGTACACCAAAGAAAACAACAACAAAAAACATTCAGCCATCATTTACTCACCACCATGTCGTTCCAAACCTGTATGAGTTTTTCTTAAAAGAGATATTTTAAGATTTTTTTTCTCTCCATACAATGGTATATACAAGTTCTTTAAAATACCTTCCTTTATGTTGCACAGATGAAAGTAAGCCATACAGGTTTGGAACGACATGAGTGTGAGTAAATGATGACACAATTTTCATTTTTGAGTGAACTAACCATTTAAATTTTAAAAAATCCCTGAATAATTATGAATGAGCTTAAAGGTATGGTTCACCCAAAAAAGAATTACTCACCCTCATGTCATTCCAAACCTTTAAGACCTTCGTTCATCTTCAGAACACAAATTAAGATTTTTTGATGAAATCCGAGAGCTTTCTGACCCTGCATAGACGGTAACAAAACTACCACGTTCAAGACCCAGAAAGGTAGTAAGAACATCATTAAAATAGTCCATGTGATATCAGTGGTTCAGCCTTGACTTTATGAAGCTACGAGAATACTTTTAATGCAGGAGCAGGCGTTCTGACGTAGAACCCGGATGTGCTGCGCCATATTTACAAGGTGAGGAAGACGCATGCTATATGCAAGCTATTGAATTCTACATTGACTGTGCTTTAGTTCTTGGTGTATTCTTAAAAATATTGCTAAAGTGTGCATTTCCTGGATCCCCGAATCGTGAGAAACCAGTGAGAGTACGTTAAAGTGCATTACCAACGCCGACAGATGAAAGGCTTACCTTTCAAACTTTCCCAGTGATTCAGAGCAACTGAAGCTATTGCTAAGTCATCCTCTCGGTCAAAATCTTCAGACATACTTACTTAAAGACTGTTTTATGTACAGCGTGCATCTTCCTCTGCTTGTAAACATGCCGCAGTTTATCCAGGTTCTACATCAGACGTCAGAACTGTCATTAACGCACATCAAAGACACAGAAGAGAAGAAATTGTTAAATAAAGTTTTTTGTTTTTTTTTCATTGTGCACAGAGTATTCTTGTAGCTTCATAAAATTACGGTTGAATCACTGATGTCACATGGACTATTTTAACGATGTCCTTACTACCTTTCTGGGCCTTGAACGTGATAGCTGTGTTGATGTCTATGGAGGGTCAGAAAGCTCTCAGATTTCATCAAAAATATCTTAATTTGTGTTCTGAACTTGAACGAAGATCTTGCGGGTTTGGAACGGCATGAGGGCGAGTAATAATAATGACAGAATTTTTGGGTGAACTAACCCTTGAAATGCAGAGATATTCTATTATATATATATAATATCTTGTACAGATAAACTGTCCTGAATGAGTCCATTGGCCAACAAGAAGACATCTTTGAGGTTTCAAAGGTCAACTGTGTTGATATGCTGCATAAAAATGAAATTTTTTTTTTTTAAATGTCCTTCCAATAAAGATTCATTCACATTTCCCACTCCAACATCCCTGACTATGCATCACATTAGTCCTAAAGAATCCTGAGAAGCATGTAAACTCTCTGAAACCCCCATATACTAACTTCACACTACCTCCATTACCAAAAACCCCTGATACCGACTCAGGGCACAGGTCCCTGGCCGCCCATGTGTGTCCCTCTGGTACAGGAGCTTGCAGACGGGGCTGGAGGCCAGGGATCGTCCCACACAGCGAGTGCCCCGGTCAGGTCGAGGTTCAATGGCGCTTAGCCTTGTTGTCTGACTTCTGAGATGGAAGAGCTGGGGTCGGGTTGAGCCACAAACAGAGCAGGATGATGAAATGGCAGACATGCAGTGATAGAGAGCTGTAGTTGGTGGACGGATACGTGTTCCAGGACAGCTCTATCAGACCCAGAATCAACACCCTAAAAGAAAGTGAATAATAATACTCACTGAATAACTAAACTTATACTCCCAAACAACACATGAACTAAACTAAATAATACAGATAGAAAAAAAAAAAACATGAGTCTGTGTCTTACCTGAGCAGGTGGGCAAGTTTCTTGACTCCTCCGCTCCACAGCAGGTAGGGCAGCGTATGGAAGTACCAGACATAAAACTGATAATGCAGTGATCTACTGAAGCACATGCCAATGAAATTAGAAGTGAAAAGAACCAGAACTGTCTGTATGATCTGAGTTAAGAAACCATTTTCATCAGATCTACTAGGACTAATAGTGCAAAGTTCAGGAATGCCTGGTTTATTTCAAATAATTTGAAAGCAATCCATCATACATTTGATTTAAACAACCATAAAAAGGATATGATCAGCATTGAGCTTGTGTACAGTCTCTTTTCTCTCAGACTGATCTGCTAGAATAGACCAAATACTGTTCCCAGATCTGTAATAGACAATTTTTAAATGACACAGTCAGAAGAACAAAAAGACCTTTGGCGTATTAGTCTTAACATTGGCCTTACAACTTGTAGTAATGTTTTTGTTCAACTAATTAAGCTGCAAGTTCTATTAAAAGCCCTTTAAATAGTTTTTGATACACAATTTCCTTAACATTTAAGGTGATTTAACCATGTAAAATACCGCTACTAATTACAAGCTTAATTGTAGTGTTTTGATTTTTGTACCTCTTCCATCTTTTCAGCGCAAACAGAACCAGTGTAGTAATGTGAGCCAAAAGCAGAGCCAGGTGGAAGTATCGACTCAAGAACACATCCTCGGGAAGAAAACGCCAGTTCACCGTCCATTTAAACAGAAACTGCCTGCCCAAGTCGAACGCCCGACTAAAATACCCGACCGGGTTCACCAAGAGGAACGGCAGCCCCAATACCAGCTGAAAAGGAGAAAAACATGAAAAGCTGGTGTAAAAGTTCACTTAATAAATGTGTAAATTAAATAAATTTGTTTATGCGTGTCTAACCTGAATTACAGCACAGAGAGTGAGTTTGGGTAAAGTTTTCCATAGACCGAACTCACACAGGAGGAGGAAGAGGAGACCAGGAGCGAAGAGCAGAACATTCATCTTCACAGACACAGCTAAACTGTCCACAGCACAGACAAATATATACTTTAAATGCACACACACTGCTGAAATGTTGAAGTGTTGCAGTGTTGAAGAGATCAGGCATCAAAACATTGTACAGAAGTAGTGGTTAACATGAATGGCAGAGAGAGAGAGAGAGTTAAAGAGTTAAAAAGCTCTCTAACCATTCATCTATCACTCCATATAGAATGAAGATGATGTTTCTACTTGCCTGTAGAGGGCACATCCTAGAGTCCAGCGGCCATCCAGGAAGAGATTGATGGCTCCGAATAACAGCATCATGGCCACTGGATCATTAAAGAGACGCAAGACGAAGATGGAGTGAATCCGATATGAAGCACAGCAGACAAAGAAGAACACATACGGAGGAACCTAGAGAAGAATAAACAGACAAGCACTATTAAGACACTTTCTGAACCATGAATATAAACTTCTGTAAATGTCAAAAACAAGGTAAAACCAGAAATTAGCAATGCACTGCATTATTAGTAAGGTTTTTGTCATTGTAACCTAGAGATGAGTAGTTGCTGGATTACAGTTTATAGTAAGGCTTAAATTCAGAGGTTTATGTCTTGCAATAGTTGTTTAGCTGAAGTTGGATATAGAGGTCATAGAATTAATACATGTTGTAGAATTAATGTACACTGTATTACATAATTCATACACCACCATTCAAAGGTTTGGGGGTAAGTAAGATTTTTGAAAGAATCTCTTATGCTGACCATGACTGCTTTTATTTGATCAAAAACACAGTAAAAACTGAAATATTGTGAACTAGTCTTTACTATTTAAAATAATCTTTTTTTATTTTAATCAATTTTAAAATGTAATTTATTCCTGCAATGCAAAGCTGAATAATCCAGTCCTCAGTGTTACACGATCATTCAGAAATCAATTTAACAAAGCATGTGATTTGGTGCTCAAAAACATGTCTTATTTTTTAATAATGTTGAAAACAGTTGTGCTGCTTAATATTTGACCGTAATATATAACCGTGATACATTTTTCTGGATGCTTTGATGAAGAGAAAGTTCACAGAAGAACAACATTTATGTGAAACTAATTTTTTAGATTTTTCTTTCAAATTTAATCTTACTGACCCCAAACATCTGAACAGTGGTTTGTATATTTCAAATTCTCAGTGAAAAGATCCTGGCTATTCTTGGGAAAAACAAAAAGTGACTGAACAGAATGTACAGTATGTATAACGGTAAACTACATGGATTTGCATTATATGGGGTCATTACCTTTTTGGTGCAATGGTAAATGCGGAACACAAGCAGGAGGGTGATGAGGTAGAACACAGCGAACACGTACTGACCCAAACGAATATTCTGTCCATGATCAGTAACATAATACAGCCCAGTGAATATATACACAAAACCAGCTGGATACCTGAAACACACATTCAGTATACAATCCAGTAAATGATTAGTGGCCAGATTTTCATTTAATATGCCATACTACTGCCAGACAGTGTTGGGGAGTTATTAGTTACATGTAATGGAATTACGTAGTTTAATTACAAAATAAATGTAATTGTAATCAGTTACAGTTACTGAGAAAAAAATGTGTAGTTAAATTACAGTTATAAAAATTTTAATGATTACATCTGAAGATTTTTACACACACAGATTTGACACAGAATAGGACACATGCTTATTCGATAAATGTTTTATTTCCTATATGGGTTTAGGTATTTGCTTTATTTTGTAAGATTAACCGTTTTTTTTTGTTTTTTTTGCCAAGGCATTGTTAGATTCCAGTGTTTTCTGTCATAGCTATGCAAAGATTAGATTTAAAAAACAGTCTCATAGCTATTAAACTATATCTTGTTATGATTTTAAAACTGTATTTAACCTCAGAATGATCTCAAAGCAAGCCTGACTTTGTGGTGGCTGTGCTTTAAAATTAATTTATCATAATCTTAATTCAAATTTTGAAGGGTTTTTAAAGTCTGACAATAATCAGTTTTGAGCACTACTGTAAGGTTAACCCTGCCTGGTTTACATGTTTGAAAATGAATAATAGTTGAAAACATTAGAAATTTAGAAAAGTAATCAAAAAGTAATCGGTTACATTGCTTTAATAAAGTAATTGAAACGGTTACGTTACTTATTACATTTTCAATAGGGTAACTTGTAATCTGTAACCTATTACTTTTCCCAGTAGATCCCGAAAATAACAGTAAAATAAGTACAAAAATGCATTACATTTCTGGGGTTATATTAATGTATCACTGAAGGGAACTGTCTTGAGAAAAGTTTCGATGGCAATGGCATTTTCTTCTCCTCCGTATAAAGCGCGGCTCTGCTTTGTTTACAGCGGTAAGCAAGGAAACGTTATTGCGGGCGGTTCATAAGCAGTGTTGCCAAGTCCGCAGTTTTCCCGCGGAATTGGGCTACTTTAACACTGTTGCCGCAGGTTGTTGTTCATGTCCGCGGGTTGAAGCGACCCCAATAACGTGATATTTAGCCCCTGGAATG